TCATGGCCAGTGGCTTCTCCTCTACGAGATTTAGGGAGGAAAAAACGTCTATAATTTTTGAGGTATACATAACAAAGAACTATTTTTCTATGAACACCAGAAGATGATTCAGATAATTCACACAGACCTCAGCATTTCAGTACTGTGTATCAAAAGTCTTTCCAGATGGGAAAGACTGAAGCTTTACCACACGGAAATGCAAACATCAGGGGTTTTATTTCTTAAGTTTCTAAACAATCAGTTTTTAGGCTTCTGCTGGTTTTGTGATTTACTCGGGGCTAGGTCTGTGCATGAATGTCACGTACAGGGACACGCACTGGACAGAGGTGACTGCCAAAGCAAGGTACCTTTCTTTAATAAAAGAAAAAAAATAATGCCCTAATGCAAGCTGATGCAACCTGCCAACGTGGGCCCACAAAGCATCAGCTCAGTGTCACGGCTTTTTCTCATGTCCAGTTCCATGCTATGCTACAGACTGAAGATCATTCTTAGCTTCAGTTTCTCTTTATGTTAGATGAAACCTCTCAAGATGCTCAGTGCAATGTGAAAATGTTCTGAGTCACTGAATAATAAACATTGGCTGATGCTAACTGTGTCTCAGAAACATCTTCATATCTTTTCCACTTTACGTTAAAAGCTCTGAAGGGTTTTAAAAACCTATTTTATTCCACATGCAGCAACTAAGTTGGTTTTGTTAGAAAAACGAAGTCTGTGGACAGTTAACATACCCATCGGCATCCGTAGAACTACGGCTCCTTTTCTGTGGGGTAACTTCTGCCATGTCTGCACCAGAGCACCTACAAGACCACATTTTTAATAGCTTAGAATAGATTTCCAGTAAAAGGCACAACAAAACAAATTTAGTAAAGAAGGAAAAGAAGGTGGGGGACTGGGAAGAAAGCACTGAACAGAAGCAGCTGAAGCATGACAGAGATCAGAACAACGCAGGGCTGCGTTTCAGTCGAGCATAAGCCCTAAAACAAGCGCACACAGAAGAGACCTCCCAGGTCAAGCCCTGCTCTGTTGAACAAATGCCTCCAAAACTCCCTTCTCTAAAATGGAGGCAGAAGATTCAGAAATGTGCTTTACTTTCTATCTCTCGTATTCCTCTCGCAAAGCTCATTCCAGACCTCGCTGATGTGGTTTCTAGAAACCTGCTTGCTCCTGCCCGTATCCATGGTCAGTTTATTCCAATGAGGATTTCCCCTTGGCGTTTGCCTTCCAGCCGAGGCAGCTCGCTACCCAGCAGACTCTGAGAGTTTCTCTCCCAGCTCCCTTCTCGCCAAGTACCATAAACCACACTTTTTCAGCCTTTGTTGACACAGTAGCCATTGAAACCACTTTAACACTACATGCTGTTTGTTCCACCTCTTCCAGTTTCAGACAATTATCGCACAGCTTGCTGTTACGTGGCGTTTCACAACCGAAACCCCAGAATAAACAAATGCCCTGTACCCAAGAGGGCTAATAATAAATATTCATAGACTCCTAGAAATAACAATCTATTCAATAATCTGCCAGCAGGGGGAAATTCCTCCTAACCTGCCCGCCTTAACGCATCGCTGCTTTGGGGAAGCGGTGACTGCTGACAGCCCAGAGACGACAAACTGTTAAGCCCAGGAACACCAAGGACATGAGCGGTGGCAGAGGACGGAGCCAGGCGCTGCGTCGCTGCAGCAGGAGTCGAAAAACCTCAGCACAGAGCAGCGCTGGCAGAGGGGAACTTCAGGCAACGCCCTAGAGGCACAGAGCAACAATGATGAGCCTGCAGGTACCTGGGAAATAAGCTATCAGGTGCAGAGGAAGGGAGAAGAAAATGGAGGAGCAGGAGAGTCAAATGGTGTGCTTGTGGGGGAGCAAACCTCACAACTTGCAGTATTATTAACCTGGGGATCCCGCAGACAGCTCCCCGCAGAGCAGCTCTCCGTTGCTGGCCCCAGCCACCCGCACCCCTTCCCAAAACATTCCTAGTCTGAGGAGAAGAGAATGGATGATCAGGAGAGTCAAATGGTGTGCTTGTGGGGGAGCAAACCTCACAACTTGCAGTATTATTAACCTGGGGATCCCGCAGACAGCTCCCCGCAGAGCAGCTCTCCGTTGCTGGCCCCAGCCACCCGCACCCCTTCCCAAAACATTCCTAGTCTGGTTCCCAGCCAGCCCCTCGCCTCAGTATTTCACCCCAGCACCCCACAGGCGTCCTACGCCCTGCTAAGGCACCAGCCCCTTACCCCTAGCACCTCTCCCACTCCCCAGGACCTAACCAAAGCGCCTCAACC